GTTTCCACAAGACCCTCGATCAAATAGATGTTGCCTGACGCAGTTGTGGGGGAGTTCGGGCCAAACACAACAGTTAAACATGCGATTTGAATGCGTTTCTATGGATCACATGAATGATTGGAAGGATCGGGGCCTCTACTGGTGTTGAAACACGGAAGAAGATGTGATCCTGTAATCCTATTGAGCGAGTCCGATATTCTCTCCATTTTCAGATATGTTAGTTGGGGAAGACCAAGGGGGGATGTTCACCTGACCACCCTTCCCCCATCTCCCCCCACACCATCTTTTCCATCATCCCCACTCCCCACCCATCCTATGCTTCCTACTCTCAATATGTCTTCTCCACTTACATTTTCTCACCTTGCACGCACATACCTCACACCACATCTCAATCAAACTATATTCCCGATCATATTAGTTTTTCTTCTCCCTATTCTCCTCTCTCCAAGCTCTATCAATCTCCTTCTTCTTCTCAACATTCCTCCCCACCCACCTTTTCCATCTGTCTAAGCACACATTACAAGTCGCATTCTTTTCATTAAACATTCCCAATTCCTTATTACATCCACACTGTCCACACCTTCTCTTCTCCACTTCCTCACCTCCACCCTGAGCATTCTCAATATGCGTATTTGTTTTCTTATGCTTCCCCCATCCACTTTTCCTCACATTGCACTCACACACCTGACAATACACATTCTCAAACTTATCACCTTTCATCTCCTTAGTACCTATTGCTACTATCCCTTTAAGTATTGGTCAGGTGAACATCCCCCATTGGTCTCTCATAGAAGAAATTAGAATAGTAAATATCTAGTTTATAGCATTATATAAATATTTATCTGATCAACTCTTCTGGGATTATGTATAATTCCTTCTGATTAAACAATGTATAGTTTTCAAGTTTTCAGGCCATGTTTCCTTCCTATTGCTAGGTGCCCTTTGTGCTGTTTCCCTATGCCTATTCCCTTCCATTTGTACGCAGTTCTTTTTACATAATGGTTTAGGTGTCCAAGTTTTTATATTTGTCCAAAGTCTGGTGCGTTTTCTGTATGCCATTCCATCTTTACAATAATCAACATCAAAAAACGAAGTTTTTCATAAACTCTTGCTCCTTCAAAAGTCCGGTCTGGGGGGTTTTCAACGAAAACATTTGGATCAAAATAGTTTATTATGTCAATAGCTTTCTTCACTGTTTCATTTGCTTCATCAATTTTTCTAGTGCCTGTTTGTTTTGCTATGATGTATTCAGTGCAAGGCGGGGATGACCAAGTAACATCAAAGTCGTTGTCAAATTTATTATAAACAAATTTCAAAATATCCTCATTGATACTAGCATTTTTAAGATCAAGTGATATAATAGTATAACCAAGTTCTTTAACAATTCTTCCAACACTACCTGTGCCTGAAAATATAGGGGTTCACGAAATGATGGCACAAGTAAAATGGTTGAAATATGCCATCAAAGATTAAAGATTTCAGCGCAAAATTGAGCTTTGACAATAGGAACACTCAAATGACATACCAATACACTGAAGCAATGGCAGGGCCGCTGTGAGAGCGGGGTTCTTTGAGAGTGCTGGGGTTGCATTCACAAAAGAAAAGTAAAAGAGAGGGAGGAAGGCAAGCAGGGAGAGAGGGAGGGAGGGGGAGGAAGGGAATGAGGAAATGACATGCACTAACACAGGAACAGCATACTGAGAGGAGAGGACCATTATATACAACAATGGTAGGTCCGCTGCGAGAGCAGGGCACAAAGCAAAAGGGAAAGAAGAGGCAGGGAGTGAGGAAGGGAGGAGAATGAAATGAATTGAACATAGGAACGCTAAGATGGTACACCACACACAAAGAGAGAGAGAGAGAGAGGGAGTTACAGAGAGTGAGAGAGTGAGAGTGAGAGTGAGCTAGTCTCATACTAGAATCCAGCAAATGGAATGAAGTCCAAGAGAAGGAACAAAGGAAAGAAACTATACAGACAGGAAAGGACACCCCCAAAAAAAACACACATATAATATATATATATATATACGTATATAAGATGAGATAAGGCGCCTGCTGCACAGGCTACCTTATTTGATCTTGGTTAAGCCTTTGTTCAGGGAGCCGCGGTGGGAGAGAGAAAGAGAGAGAGAGAGGAACTAACATAACTAAGGACGTCCTGGAACCCCTGGCAAGTAATTGAGGTATGTCCAAACAGGCTAAAGGGCATGAAAAGAATACTAAATAGAACGGCAAGGATAAAGGCAGTTGAAAGGATGCGAGGAAAGAGTGGTATGCATTGAACATAGGAACGTTAAGATGGCACGTGAGGAAATGATATGCACTAACGCAGGAACAGCATACCGAATGGAGAGGATCATTATATACAACAATGGTAGGTCCGCTGCGAGAGCAGGGCACAAAGCAAAAGGGAAAGAAGAGGCAGGGAGTGAGGAAGGGAAGAAGAATGAAATGAATTGAACATAGGAACGCTAAGATGGCACACTACACACAAAGAGAGAGAGAGAGGGAGTTACAGAGAGTGAGAGAGTGAGAGTGAGAGCGAGCTAGTCTCATACTAGAATCCAGCAAATGGAATGAAGTCCAAGAGAAGGAGCAAAGGAAAGAAACTATACAAACAGGACACCTACAGTGCATGACACTCTTGGGGCTGCTGGATGGAAAAGGTTTTTTGCGGAAACTGAGTTTCTGGTGTGGGAGAACTGGAAAGCGTCGACAGAGAGAGAGAGAGGGAGAAAGAGAGAGAGACCAGCAAACAGAGTACAACACCCTTAAGGCCTGCAACAAACAATAAGATGGCATACCAGCCAAACGGCTCTAGTAGATTACAATGCCGATCACCCCAAGCATCAACTGACCACTATGATGGCACACATGGCCCTTTCAGATCCTCGATGTGTTTCATCAAAAAGTGCATATATGCCATGTATTGTCTCGATTCCTGTGTGCCATCAAAGTGTGAACCTGTATAATTGTTATAATTTCATAATAATATGTTGTCATAGAAAATATATTATCATGAGTATGTTTCAGTGTCTTCATCATAATCAATTTTGTAACATTGTATGGTGGTCTCTTTAGGTTGTTTTATTATTTTTGAATTCAACATTTCTAAATACTGCTTCCTTTTGGTTTCAAAGTCCCCTACTGGTCTACCTATGCTTTTCTTTTCAGATGCTTCTCCATTTTCCTTAAATCATTTTTTCTCATTAGTCTTTTCATCAATGGTTTTTAACAACTGTAAGATCAATTTAAGACTATTATTATATCTGTTCATTTTCTTTATCAGCTCATCCATTTTATCAGTATTATCTAAAGTAATAGATCCACCATCATCGTTTGAAACTTTCATAGTCTTATCTTATCACTCTTGCTGATTTTAAAGCTATATGGATTACACTTACACTTTTTGCCTTTAGTGTTGATTTCAATTTCATTCTCAGTTGTAGTTTTCCCTGGCATAAAGGACAGTCAAAGGTAATGAATTTGCTTGTTAGTTTTTGTTCTTCATCTAGTTTTATTGTTGTTGGTTCTTCATCTGCTAGTTCAAACTCTTCGGGGATTTGTGTTTTATTCATCTTTGTTGTTTTTTTTTTGTCTTTTTTGGTGGCATGTATAATATTACATTTTAGATAAGTAATTATCAATTTTGACATTTCCAGTGAGTATTTACAACACTGCTTAAGTTTATTATCTTTAACAACTGGATATTTAGCACTATCATTTTTTCCATATCATCTCTTCCTGTTATATAAGCATCATGTTCAGATAGCGTCATAATATATAACTATAATTAGATAATGCTTTAACACCATCTAATTATGTAGTGCTTGGGAGAACACTAAAAACGAATTCAACTGTAAGGGCAAAAAATCCATTGCTGAAAAGCAAACTAATTACCGACTTATGCGGATTAGCGTAGCCTCACCTACCGCACTCTGTCCATAGGAGATCTGCTAATATTTAATAATGTTTTCTATGTATTTTTAATAATAGATGAATAATAACACCGCACCACATATTCAACCTATCAAAGAAATCAATTATGAATTCACTCAATCAAAATATGCTGTTGCCTCTAAAGTGCCCTTTAGATCAATCATAACCGGTCCGTCTGGTAGTAGCAAATCAGTGCTACTAACAAACATGAATATGGACACCTACAAGGAAGTTTTTCAAGGGTGTATATCTGGTCACCTTCAATAAATGTTGATAGCATCTGGTTGCCAGTCAAGAAATACATAAAGGAAGAAATGAAAGTGAACACTGGTAAAGAGCAGGTTTTGTTTGAAGACTTTCACAGTGAAGATTTAATGAACGTCATTGAAACACAACATCGAATAACTGAATACAGTAAAAAAAACATAAATAAAAAAACAATCCTAATAGTCTTGGATGATATAGCAGATGATCCCAAAATAGCAAGATATTCAAACATATTTGATTCCCTTTATGTAAGAGGTAGACACAATGGTATTAGTGTTATAACATCTGTTCACAAATTTAATGCACTGACCACACTGATAAGAGTTAATGCCACACACCTATTCTTCTACAAGGTCAGCAACTTTAAAGAAATAGAACTGTTTCAAAAAGAACTATCAGCAATACCTAGAATAAAAGAAACAATCTCCAAGAAAGTAAGCAGGTCTTATATAAACTTTATGAAATAGCCACTGAACAGCCACATATGTTTTTAGATATTAATCTTCTGGAAAAGGATAGGAACAAGATGTTTATGATCAATTTTTCACACTATTTGCAAATTGATGATTGATAATGTTAATATGATCAATCTTTATACCAATGAAGGAGCACAAATATTATAGCAGGTAGTTTATACATAATCCTATTCGATTTCAGGATGTGAGCAGCTGGGAAGGTTCGTCAAGGGTACACATTCTATCACGAGCGAAATGAACCCCAAAGGTCCCTACCACATATATATATATATATACATATAACGTCAGCTGCCAATGTTGAGGGTGTAACCCTGGCAGGCCTGCGTGACCATGCGAAAGGCGATCGACCAGGTCAGCCTAGGCGGGTTGGGACCCCACAATGAGACGTTCTCAGGATCGAAGGTGTCACCACTGGATTTCAGAGCTCCAGACACTAGGAACAATGGTACGGACCGTGATTGCTGTGTGCTTATAGGATCTTTCATTCGTTTTTTTGTAGTCCATGAACTGCAGACTAGGCAAAGCCGTCATACATCCAGATGACTCTCAACCATTCAGCCGTAGACCGTCACCTTGCACTCTGTCCGTCGAAGGTGCAGCAAAAGTCACTCCAGTTTCCATGACTATATAGCAATTGGCCGAATAACTTGCCACCTATGTTCAGCTCTTGTTGGTAACCAGCCTAATTACTTGAAACATCGTGATTCACTCTGCCAGGCTATGTGAAGTGGCACAGCGAACAGGACTGGCCAGAATCATTTCGGTGACAGGTAACATGACTTGGCACGAGTGCACTTGGCACCACGTGTCCGAGATGGCTTCAGACGGGAATTCGCACGCAGTCAAAACCATGCCGTGAACTCTTTCTGATTCAAACAGGCTCTCAAGAGATGTAAGCCTTTTTGTCTCAACAAAACATGCAAGCCCTCGAAAAGGGTGAATTCGCACTCCAACGGACCTTGGATGTTACTTTTCAAAAAAGGCCCGTCAAAGACAACAGTACCCAAGGTCCATCAGAGCGGTCCTAGATCTCGTAGCACGTCCACACATCCTTCAGAAATTCCTGACTTGGCAAGTCCTGTTCTCAAAAGGAGATCAGTAGGGATATATATATATATATGTATATTTGTTATAGATAGCTCTACTTGGAGACCCTCAGGGATGTTGATAGATGTTGATAGTGTTGATAGTATATTATCCCTGGGTTGTTGGGTATCGATTCACCACATGATTTGGCCCAAGCTTTACCAATCTCTCCCAGCTAATCTCAACCAGTGAGTTGTTGGAATCCAAGAAGTGATGATAGTCCCCTCGTCGTCAGGGTGCTTCGTCTTGCTAAACGTCGATGTGTTCAAGGAACCATGGTTTGCAGGATCTTCCGTGCTTGGCAGGATCACTTCCGTGGTTTGCCCAACATCTTTGGCGGCTTTTGCGTGAACAGTTGGGGCCATGCCCTGTGTGGGCTGGAAAATGTGGAGGCATTCTCCGCGTCGCGCACAATGTCGCACAGGCAGCGGAGCCATTCTTCAAGAATGATGTGTCACTTCAAGATTATGGGAGTCATTGTTTTATCCGCAGCTTTGTGCAGCTGTGTCATGAATCCATTGAAACATTGATTTTCCTGGACATGTACATCATTGCCACACTGTTCGGGGGTGGGGTTTGTTTCCTTGGAATATATATATATATCATAAGGAAGTCTTAAATCGTCGTCATGGTCAGCTTTTAGGCGACCAACACAGCAAGTACAACGGATCTACGGAGTTGCCATTGATGGTAAGACACCATATGATACCATTAAAGCATTTACCATTGAACACTGCTTGAGTTGCAAACAAGAACACAATTGCTGTTGCTCGGTTCTTTCGAGCTACTGTATCGGCCGGGCCGAGTAGGCGTAAGTAGGTGAGGTGCATTCTCCTAAAGACCTGAACATGTTGACCTCAGAGGGGTCGTAACCGCTCCAGGCCTATGCAGTAGGGATGCGCAGCATTGATGAAAGGGCCGGGGTGCTCAGACGAGGGCTCAGACGAGGGCTGTAGGCATCGCAGGGCAGGTGAGAGCACTGAGATTGTCTATGGATTGCTTTGTTCGATCAATCGAATCACCACAATTTCTTCTCATGGGATTGAGTAATGTTCATGTATTTGTATCCTCCTCTAATTCCATGGTTTTTCACTCTTCCTGTGGCCGTCAACCATGTGCTTGGCTCATGGGCTGGTTTCTGGGCCATAGCAAGGCTTCATAGCAAGGCTTCAAGGCTCGTGTTCCAGCTTGTTGAGTTGAGACCCCACCAGCTGGAAGGTTCACTGGGGATGATGCCCAGCATGTGTCTCTCGGATTTAACCGTATTACGGGCAGGAAGTTATCACTTACAGCAAACATATCTAATATAATATAGTAGATCACATGGTATGGTATGATTGGTATGAAGAACATCTGGTAGAGTAGAAAACTTACCACATTCTCCTCGCCCATACCACGTTCTCCTTGGCGTCCCCAGGCGGCCAAGATGTGTTTTCCACTGGACGCCGCTTATATGCAGGCGGCTCCGGTACGCTCGTCGCAGGGTCGCGGAGCTGCACAGACCTGGCTCAGACATGCTCAGAAGGCACACAGCAATATGGGCACTGAGTACAGCATGGTTACTGCAAGTTCACAGGAAGTTCTTTTGGGTTGAATATGGTTGAATCATGATATGTATCATAATGGATCATAATGAAAGCTTGGAACACTGGAACACCTTCATGGATAAATCATGATGAGGAGTACACAACATTGTTGAGGTTGATGTCACAGATGGTAAAACGTTTTGAGGCACGGAGTCTTATTCAGGTCATTGCTTGAGTACTCGAGGATGTTGGTTGCTTTCCTTAGCCCTGTGGAGCTGGCTTAGTGGGTCAGCAATTCTGTGAACATCATATTTTTGACCTGCGATTGGCGTTGCAAGATGTTGCAAGACCCAAGACGCTTCCATCATTTTTACAATGCATTAGCGCTGGATTCTGGATACCCGCTGTTCGCATGGGGCGCCAAGTAGGAATCCGTACTGCACTTGCAAGGTTCTGCCGCAAAAGAACGGCCTACAGAGGCAGGGCCGTGAACTCCTGGCATATATGTTTGCACTCTCAGGATGGATGAAAGCAGTGACGTTCAATGTCTTTGTTGGGGCCTGACAACAGGATGCACACATATACTTCCAGTGACCTGCGAGAAGAAAGACATGAATCCGTTTGAACAGATGGACATCATTTCCGTCTAGTCTAGTTGTATCGCCGCGATATAAAATGTTTGTAAAAAAAGAAAACACGCAGCAGCAACAACAACAACAACAACAATTACAGTACCTATGCCGTCGGCAGGCAGAATGTGGCGGATCGGTCGTTGTTCGGATCGTTTCGGAACGATTCCGCTCGGTGACATCGCGTCAGAACGATTGACGATGGAATCACGAGGATTTTGTTGACGATGCCTGTCACAGAGATTGAGGCTTTCTTGAAGGAGGGGGAGTGGGTCTTCGGTGCTTTTTGGTGTTTTGTTTGTTTGTTTGGTGTTTTTTCACTCTGTGCCTGTCACAGAGTCTCTCTCAGAGGATAAGAGGCGTTTTCTATGTCAATGTGCTTTTGCACCACATACCTTCACGATGTTTTTGGGCAGGATCTGCCAGCCGAGTCCTTCGAGGTGCCTCACATCAGTGAGATGCGTCAGGAATCCCAGTGCGGCTGGGATCAGTGAGTTGGGGACGACCTCGTTGCAGTGGCCCATGTTCGGTGCGATGCTTCCACCCGTGTGTGTGTGTGTGCCCCCCTCCGATTCCAGGAGTTTTTATTGTTCAAAACTCAGTTTGCAGGGACGTGTGGCCTTCTTGTCCTACCACACGCAACGAAGCTGTGGACAAGAAGGGGGAAGCGGAGCCTGATCAGCTTCGTGTATTTTGCTTTCATGGTGGTTCTGCACGCTATTCCCCAAAACAGGTTTCCTTCACCACCACCTTTCAGCAGCGGTCGTTCAGCTGCGTTCTGCAGACAAGTGAACCAATTGTTCAACAATTCAGTTGCGCTGACCGCTTCACCTTTCGTTTCCCTCATCCATTTCACTGGATTATGACTAACTGCAAACCCTGTGACTAAGTGTGTACCGCTGTGTCGTCCCACTGGGTGCACAGTGTGATCCTCTCGCAAGAGAGGCGCCAAGACCATTGTGAATCACATTTTCTGACTTGAAGGGAAGTCATCGGGAATTTCGATTACTGAATTGATGTTTCACCCCTAATCGCAAAGCGGCCGCGCTTACGGACAGAATGCCGCCGTTTTTGCGGAGAATGCACCCTCCTCTTTTCTTTCTCTTTCCCCCCCTCCCCTAAATAGGGTAGCAGAAGGAAATGGTACTCGACACACTTGTGTGTCGGTGCCTTTCCTTCTGTTGTCCCTGTTCTAGTCTACTCTACCCGGGCGGTTTAAGACTAAAGTCCCGCTCCCTAACTACTGCACGTAATTAAGAACCGCTAAGTAATCAGTATAACTAGAGTGCTGAGTATTCAGACACACACACACGGACATACACTCCCTCCCTGCCCCCGCTTTCTCTCTTGCGCTCTCTTCGTTTTCTAGGTTTTCTTTCAGGCTTGTTAGGTGGTTCTTGAGGCACGTTTCCCTGCCCCTTGAGTTTCCTTTGGTTCTTTCTCTCTTGCATGTCCGTTTCTCTTTCTAGGTTTGCCTTTCCGCTAGAGGCTTTTTAGGTTTGTAGTTCTTCTTGTTGCAGTCAAGGGCTAAGTAGTCAAGTGCTAAGTAGTAAGTTACCGCTACTCCTACCTTTCCTTCTTGCCCTTTTCGTTTTGCTCGTTCTGTCTTTTTTCTTTTCTAAAGCTTTTTAGGCGACTATTCAGGTTCTGCGAGCGAGCGCCGCGAAGTAGCCAAGTGTGTGTGTGTGTGTGCCCCCCTCCGTTTCCAGAAGTTTTTTGGTTCAAAACTCAGTTTGCAGGGGCGGGTGGCCTTCGTCCTACCACACGCAACGAAGCTGTGGACAAGAAGGGGAAGCGGAGCCTGATCAGCTTCGTGTATTTTGCTTTCATGGTGGTTCTGCACGCTATTCCCCAAAACAGGTTTCCTTCACCACCACCTTTCAGCAGCCGTCGTTCAGCCGCGTTCTGCAGACAAGTGAACCAATTGTTCAACAATTCAGTTGCGCTGACCGCTTCACCTGTCGTTTCCCTCATCCATTTCACTGGATTATGACTAACTGCAAACCCTGTGACTAAGTGTATACCGCTGTGTCGTCCCACTGGGTGCACAGTGTGATCCTCTCGCAAGAGAGGCGCCAAGACCATTGTGAATCACATTTTCTGACTTGAAGGGAAGTCATCGGGAATTTCGATTACTGAATTGATGTTTCACCCCTAATCGCAAAGCGGCCGCGCTTACGGACAGAATGCCGCCGTTCTTACGGAGAATGCACCCTCCTCTTTTCTTTTCTCTTTCCCCCCCCTCCCCTCTAAGTGGGGTGGCACGGGGAAATGGTACCTTTCCTTCTGTTGTCCCTGTTCTAGTCTACTCTACCCGTTCGGTTTAAGACTAAAGTCCCGCTCCCTAACTACTGCGCGTAATTAAGGGCCGCTAAGTAATCAGTATAACTAGAGTGCTGAGTATTCAGACACACACATGGACATACACTCCCTCCCTGCCCTTGCGCTTTCTTTGTTTGATAGGTTTTCTTTCAGGCTTGTTAGGTGGTTCTTGAGGCACGTTTCCCTGCCCCTTGAGTTTCCTTTGGTTCTTTTTCTCTTGCATGTTCGTTTGTCTTTCTAGATTTGCCTTTCCGCTAGAGGCTTTTTAGGTTTGTAGTTCTTCTTGTTGCAGTCAAGGGCTAAGTAGTCAAGTGCTAAGTAGTAACTTTTTCCGCTACTCCTACCTTTCCTTCTTGCCCTTTTCGTTTTGCTCGTTCTGTCTTTTTTTCTTTTCTAAAGCTTTTTAGGCGACTATTCAGGTTCTGCGAGCGAGCGCCGCGAAGCAGCCGAGTGTGTGTGTGCCCCCCTCCGTTTCCAGGAGTTTTTTGGTTCAAAGCTCAGTTTGCAGGGGCGCGTGGCCTTCGTCCTACCACACGCAACGAAGCTGTGGACAAGAAGGCGAAGCGGAGCCTGATCAGCTTCGTGTATTTTGCTTTCATGGTGGTTCTGCACGCTATTCCCCAAAACAGGTTTCCTTCACCACCACCTTTCAGCAGCGGTCGTTCAGCCGCGTTCTGCAGACAAGTGAACCGATTGTTCAACAGTTCAGTGGCGCTGACCGCTTCACCTTTCGTTTCCCTCATCCATTTCACTGTGGATTTTGACTAACTGCAAGCCCTGTGACTAAGTGTGTCACTTCCTGTTTGTAAGGAAACCGACCACACCAAGGAACGTAACAGCTTTAATTCGATCCAATCCGTTGCCCATACGTGTACAGAGGAGGGGATCCAGGCATTGTGAGTTGTCCCTGGACCAATGAAGACGGACTCACAGCTGGTGACTCCTCCTGTCCTTCTTGTGACCCTCACTCCGACTCTCACTAGATTCCGGATGTGCGTGAGACTGCTGATTGAACGCCGCAGGGCTTACTGGGATCAGACTCCAGTTGGGATTTTTTGTCCACGTCATGCTGCTAAGCATTCACAGGCCAGTTACCTGCGCATGTGCAAACCACAAAACGACACCAAACGAACCCGGAGTACGCCAGACGTGACGTGAAGGGAGTGAGAAACGTGAGTGTGTTCTCTTATGGTCCGTTTGGTTTTTCTTTCCTGCTGTTGCTTTTCGTTTTCTTGAGGCCTTTCTTTAGGTTCCAGTGCCTTTCAGTCAAAGGAGCGCCGATTACGGCTTTACTTGCGACGGCAATGCCTTCGGGCCACCCCAACCCACCCTCCCCCTACCTCCTTGCACCTAATCTGTCTTCTGCTTCTCCTGTCCTAGTCCTAGCTACCCGGGCGGTCTAAGACTAAAGTTCCGCTCGCTAACTTTCGCAGTTAATTCATACTGCTAAGTAGTCAGTAACTAGAAGGTTTCGTAACTAGTTGGCCTTGTCACTACACCTACCTTTCTCTCTTGCCCTCTTCGTTTGCTCTTTTTGTTTTTCTTTGTCTTTCTTTCTAAGGCTGGGCTTGTTAGGTGGCTAGTACCTCACTTGAGCGGCGATATCGGCGTGGGGTGTGTGTGTGTGTGTGTGTCAAAGCCTGTTTCTAAGGCTGCGCACATTGTCAAGTTTTTAAAACCAATTTTTAACAGCAGGGGCGTCAGGCTCGATACACCTACCTGACGCAACGAAGCTATGGTGTATCGAGGGAAGTGAGAGCGGATCACTCTCATGCACCTGCAGATTCAAGACCAGATGATTTAAACAATATTGTTTCGGACTTATTCACCTTGCCATTCCCTCTCAGGGCTGTTTCCCAGGTCTCAGGCAGCGCTCTAAACCGGTATTGTAATCACTAGAGTGGGACTTCGTCAACCGACTTAGCTCTTGCGAGCATCAATCTAATGTATGTTTGTTAAAATACCTAAGGGCCTAGGGGGGTTGGATGGTGATTGTTGAGCCAGCAATGGCTTTGGCTTGGTCTTTGAAACACCCTATGTCTTTCACTGTGATTTAGGGATGCCCAAGCTGCACAGGACGTGTGTAAATTTATATAAATGATGCTGCAAAAAATATGTGCTCCGGGATGAGTAGGAAATTTTCAGGACTGAACCACAAACTTCTGCCAAAAGCAGCCAGAGCAACCTTTTTCAGTCTGGTGACTTCAATCTATATGGTTAAAGGTTTATGACTGGACATGAAGATTTGTAGGTTTTAGAACAATTCAACATGTGAGTTTCCTTGACCCTTTGTCCCAAGGTTGACCCCTTTAAAATGAGTTGCAGGTGTGTTGTTTGGCAGACCCGAAAAAAGGATAGAACAGGGGGTTAGACTTGAAAACACAGTTTTTCCGCCATATAAGAGATCACAAGAGTAATGGTTTCCCCGGAGTGCATGATTTGCATTTGGTGGGTCTTGCAAGAAATCCGCCAAGAAATCCTCGCTGCGCGGAGGCACACATAGCTTCCGTGTGCCACTACCGCCTTCAGTGGGGATGCCCTGGAGATCCCTGGAGTGGGTCGAGCCATGAGAACTGGGTCCAACTGGTCTACTGAGAGCGTAAGTCAGCTGGATATTCAGCTGGAGTTCCCATCATTTTTCGGGCCTTGCGACCTCGTGAATCGATGGGTCGCGACCGAACCTGCCAAGACCGGATGGGGACCGAACCTGCGACCGAACCTGCGACCGAACCCGACCTCGGGGACCGACTGCGAAAGAGTCCACCGACTGTGGCGAACAGCAGAAACCTGCTTCTTTGGATTGGATTCATTGATATTAGTAACAAGTGCCTCGCTAGTAGTAACAGGTGCCTTACTAGTAGTAACAAAAAGCGATTCATTGATATTGATTCTTTTTGGCGTTTGCTGGTGACAGGATACCAGGACATGACCAGACCGGACAGTAAGGCATTTAGGCTAGTATCCAGGATTGGGCAGACTACAATGAAGCGAATGGGCCAATTTGGGATTTGGACTTTTAGAATGAGAACAATATATATCCTTTGAAAAATATGTAAACTGGTGCTGCTGTTGAACTTGCTTCTCAAGAGTGCTTTGCACAGCATCGATATGCTTTGAGGATTCTAACCCTCTAACCCTCAAACCTCTCACTGTTCTTTTGGTCATGAATCATCCGATACCTTTTCCAACGACAGCTCCAGGTGATGGAGCGGCTCAATCCTGCAGTGCAAACGCACCACATCGTCGCGCGGGTGGTCCGGGAGTCCCGGGAGTGACGGACCGAACGAGGGACCGCGTGACCGGGTGGTCCCATCGGATCCTTCGGCTGGGGGGTCAATGCCCCGTTACGAAGGAGGAAGATGGGATGGTCATGATGGAGTCCTACCGCTGATGGTCCTTACTATCAGCTGATGGACAACAAGAAATGACTCTGTGGAATGAACTTCTCTTGATTCTTGATCTGTGTTGATTTCTTACGAAGTATATTGAGTACAACATTGAGTTTCAGTTGGAGTTGAACCCTTGGACCCTCAGAGGACAACTTTCTTGGCCAACATAGGGTTGACCAGGTTGAAACTTCCATATTGGTGGGTCGGAGTGTACTGAATCCAGAGAGTTTGAGTTCCATTTTTTTCATGCTACTTACATATTCACATAAAGCCACAGGTTGTTCCAGGTGGATATTTTCCTAACCGTACATCTGATTTTGGAATGATGCATTGTTTGTGAGGAGGTATGCCCAAATATCACCTGGAAGCCACGGAGACCCAAAGTCATGAGGTCATTTTGTCCAAACCAGCCAAACTATAGATATTTTATTTGGTTTCCCCCCAGGTCCTTTATCCTGTGTTTGTTTTCCCCCCAAGTGTCATTCGTTGACTTGTGTCCATTTCCTTGGATTTTCCACCGAACGAGACGTTTCCAGCCCTGCGTACAAAGCCAAGAGGCCTGTGTGGGGGATTCCTTGACGGCCTGTGGCTACCCGAAGTATTTGCAGGCGCAGCGACTGACTTTGAGCTTGTCCGAAGGAGCAGCGGGGAGAAGAATAATACATGAAACAAAAAAAATAACTCCAGCGGCATGTGGTGTGTAACAAGAGTGTAGGGCGTTTCTTTGTAGAGTTCCACACTTTGCAGACCAACGTGTGAAGCGGAACCGCTGCGGGCTATGTTAGCACATAGCTTCCGCTACGTCGCAGTTCGAGGCCCCCACCGGAGGCCCACAGTCGCTTGCCGTAGGAGGCACCCCAAATCTGAAAACAATGTTTGTAGTGAAAGGTAGCGGTGAAAGGTGCCAGATTTGTTTTCACTAATGTGTTTTTCATTGTTTTTCACTATTGTAGTGAAAGGTTCAACCCAATAGTGAAAGGTAGTGGTGGCTGTGGTGGCTGGTGGCTGTGAAAAATTTGCCACTGCTGGACAAGCGCCAGAGAAAAGACATGCGGTGTAGTCGTGCTTCGGAGGCCCGGGCAACAAAAGCTAGGGGCGAATACCTTCGACTTTCACCTTGACCAGCGGGGCCTCAGACTGACTCTTAGGGGAAGGCCCGACACCTTTTGTGTCCCTGATATATAGCCGATGCTTAGACAATGCCCAGTCCAAAAGAGCCTGAACCACCATGGTCCTTTGGTCAAAGCCTATTTATCACAATTAGGTGCAAGAGGTTTGTCTTACAACAGGAGTTATCGTCCCAAGATTGCATGCACTACAGCACATGATGGTTCACCATGACATCTCAAAAGGATGCCAAGGATGGTTTCTGAACTTTGATTCAGCTCATGAACTCCTTGGTCACGTTCCAGAGCAAACTTCCTGGAGTCTACAAGCATGAACCAACACCTAAAAAAGGCTTTCGTGCAGTCCCATGACTATGGGTTTGTGAGGCCCTTTTTGACCGCGCAAACATGAATGTGCAGGCGTCATACAGCACGGCTGGAGGGTGGGTGTGTACATTCTTGGTATAGGATTGTATCAAGATTTGATGCGGTGTCCAAGTAGATGGAACATGACAGAACCGATTCCAGAACAAGGCTTGAAGGGGATACAGCTGGCAGCACGGCAGAAAGGGTGGCCCCATTGAGACAGAATCATCATTAAATGCTGATGAGCTTCGCGTAGACATCATTAGTATTCATTAGTATTATTTCAATCACGGAGTGACGGAGGTGTTCCTTCTTCAGCGGCGGTTGCGACTACCTTGGCCCTCCATGTGAACTCTTCAATCGAGGGATATCCCTCGAAGAAAATTATTATCAATGTGCTTTGAAACCACGATTCCTTCTTCAGCGCTGACAAAATTTTGGCATGGAGCGCTCAATCCTCCATGTGGCGTTCAATCATCCATGGCCTTCCCCACTATGTGCCCATTAATCATTGTATTTGAGTAATTACTTGGATTAATCTTAATTGGACTTGCAACATGGGTCATGGTGGTTGGCCAGAGTGGTCACCCTAGCAGCAAACATCATAACCACAATCAACGACAATCTACGTGCACTGGCAGACTAGCCATTCTTGAAGGAATGTAATCCTGCCACTTGACAGACTTTACTATTTGACAAAGAGCAGGGTTGGCATTGGTCATTGGGAGGCATATGGAGACACCAAGGCTGGGAAGCCATAGATCACCACCCCAAGTGCTTGTTTGGGTTCGCAGCGAAGGGGCGCCCTCTTCACTTCACATTCCATTTTCATATGATCCCGTTCGCTGCGAACATCGCACCATCCGCACCGGTGGCGCACCACCCGCTTCTGCGCAGGTGCGTGGCTTCGGTGTGTGCGGGGCGACGGCGCAGAAGTTCTCCGACCAGCCCTATTGGGAGGCACGGACGGAATCGGGGAATCGCCTATAGGGTTGATGAAGGAAGTCAGGGAAATGGGCAGGTTTCATTGGTTTGGCAAGACAAGCGACAAACGTAGCTCCAGGTTGAATTGTTTCGTACCGGACATGGCAAGGCATTTTTCAGAGAATGTGTTTTCATGCCACATTGCTCCATAGATCGGTCTCTTCAAACAAAGCCTATCCAGAACTGGTACAATGAAACTGGTCTGGGATTCATGGTAACTTGGTGTGTGATTTTTGCTGTCTCGCTGAGTTGACGGTCATAATTGGAAGGCAGTTCGGCGATGCGTTGCGGAACTGGGCATCGGCTGAAGAAGACTCATCGCCTCTTTGCATGACCAAAAAGCCATGCCTGCGACATCATCACAATAACAAGGCCAATGCCACCATCGACGGACAGGAAAACCAAGCTTTGCTTGTCACGGGAGAATCTGCATGGCCAGGCAGTAAGGCATAGGATACCAATCCATCCACTGAAACCACCAGCGACGGCGCGACTGCGGCACACGTGGGAGAGGCTAGACACGGAAGATGGCGGCAGATGGATGTCGGAGTTTCACATGTTCATACACCAACTGCTTAGTTTAAACTATTTTAAACTGCTTCAGGTTGACCTATAGGACCTTTCTGCTTACAGCCAAAACAATCTGACTAGCCCGGATCGGTCACTGTGGGATGGAATGGCCGCCGTGACCCGGCCTCACATGTGACCAGGCTGGTTGGTCCCCACCGGTCGTGAGGATCCTGGTCACCAGGTCCTCTCACTCAAGTCGCGAAACCTCCTGGCCCATGGCGGTCGTGACTGGAGGACCGGAAACTGGAGGAGGCCCGGGTGTGGGGGACCTCAGGCGGCGAAGCATGGGTTTTTCAGCTTCGAAGAAGGGAGCTCATGTCGCCGGCGATCGAAGCTCTTGAACTTTGTTGTGAACTATAGACTAGAGGGTTTGAACGTGTGGACCAAGAAGCCTAGTGGAATGTAGTGGATTCAAATTACAGGTGTAACCTCTGGAACATCCAGACATTGCTTGGTTTATGCATTCTTTGGCTTGCGCTGCAGGCTGCAGGTTTTTCACTCGTGCCCACGTGGTGAAGGGTGTGTTTGTTGGTTTCTCATGTCATGCCATCCTGTAAATAACCTTTTGAACCCACCCATGTCCAATCCAGTGCAGACCAGTCGATTTGTCCAAGGACTGAACAGCCACGAAAGCTAGCCTTAGCTAGCTGAAGTTGCTCTTGCTTTAGCCAGTTAAATGACGGGGTGGACGCGCCTCAGAAACCTCAAATAATTGATTAAATCAATGTTATGGACGCCCCCTCCCCCCCCCCCCCCCCGGAGGTTCAACTCCACCCTGCGCGCCGTGAGCGGGTGGAAACAAATTAGCTGCTGCTGCCTGGTGTGCTCGTTTGCTCCTGCTGCTGCTGCTGCCTGGTGTGCTCGTCTGCTGCTGCGGCTGCTGCTGCTGGATTTTGCTCCTGCTGCTGCTGGGTGGTCTGCCTTGGCTGCATCTCCTGCTGCTGCTGCGGTTCACCTCCGGCTATGCACTGTGGGAGCACTTGGACTCCACGTGCGCTCTAAAGCAGTTTTGTCAACCTTTGAGTGCCGATAGTCCGAGTGCACAAGAGCCAAATGACGCTACCTGTCTCCACATCGGAACTAGTGGTGTACGAGGGGTAAGGCTATGATGCAAGAAATGCCGCCTGCACATTGCACCCAAAAAGATGTTAATTTAAATCAATTTTTCGTACCAATTTTGGCCCAGCATTTGCAACACTATGGCCTCACGTGCTTGCCTGCTGGTCTGCTGCTGCTGGGTGGTCTGCTGCTGCTGCTGCTGCTGCTGCTGCTTGGTGTTCTGCTGCAGCTGCTGGGTGGTTGCTGCTGCTTGGTGGTTTGTTGCTGCTGCTGCTTCTTTTTTGAGGTGGCCATGTAGAATAGAATTCGGCGCGAAAGTGGTGCAAAACGAGGGCCACATTTTGAACTTGTGTTGAACTGATTTGGAGGTATCTCATGCCTAGCATCAAAATCTTGGTTTGCTGCTACTGCTGCTGCTGGGTGGTCTGCTTCTGCTTGGTTGTCTGCGCAGCCACACCCTAGCATGCGCACGCCTCCCCGCCCGGCTAGCTTTCGTTCACCCCCTCTGGCCTCAAGTACACATAAGGGAACTTTGAGAATTTGAGAGCCTTCTGCTTGATCGCCTGCCACCACGCTATCACCTTTTGAAGCACTGTCTATCAGAGGGCCTGATCCTATTCTCGGCAGCGACAGCACAACACCGCGCCACCTTCGACCACTCTTCATGATCTCATCTTTCTATAGAAAGTATTCCAGCATACCAGCCCAACAGCTGTTCAACAGAGCAAGCACGAAATGACCAAATGTCACATGTGAATCTGCGTTTCAGCAACTGTTAGACCCACTCAATGACCAGCGTCGCGCTTTCTTCGGCCCGCACCGCGCTCCGCGTCTCAGGTGGCGGCCGCACTTCGTGGTGGTGCTCTTCGGCACCAACGACGCGAAGCCGGAGAACTGGGACGCTGAGGCCTTTCAGCAGGAGCGGGAGGGCAGAGCTGAGAGGGCTGAGCTGATTGGGCGGAGAGTTTGTATTTCTTGTTTCTTGTTTCTGGAAGTGTGACTGAACCGTTAGCAGGAAGGGTCAAGAGTCAAAATGGAGCTTTTTGTGGGTGGAAAGGGTCCCAAGATTGTTGAGTGAATAACCCGCTCTGTTGTTGACATCGTTTTTGTTGACTGCATATACTCTGACGAACCTGTCGAACACGTCACACATTGAGGTGGAGTTCTTCCAAGGGACCATTTTGCACTCCCAGGTTAGTGAGTCAGAGTGTGGCTGGTGGTATGTGGTGCTGGATAATGTAGTAGAAATGGATGTGTTTTCCAAGTCCATCGACCAACGAAAACAGTTCAATTGATTGCAGGTTCATATAGATTAGGGCTCACGAGGCAGCGTGAGGGGTGAGTCATGAAAATTGTATCTATATAGTTGTCCTAGTTGATTGAACTTTGGGGGCATTTGAGATGCTGAGACGCTTGATGTTCACCAGGCAGGCATAAAAAAAGTGTTTAAAAATCATTGAACTGCTGGATGTTCCAGGAATCAGTAATTTGTCTACATATAGGCTATAGGTTATATCTCTGACGTTCGGTCGCACGGGCGCAGCGCAAGCGGCGCCGCGTGCAGCGTGTCCGGCCGCAAGGCGGCTCAAGTCGGCTCCAGCTGCATTGCACAGGCTCAAAGAGGGGTGTGAGGCATCCACCCACCCGCCTTCCACTGTACACCACAGGCATGGGCCCGAGGTCCCGGCAAAGTAGGCAAGTCACATGTCAGACATGCCCAAAGCTCATTAACAAGCCAGCGGCTGGCACTACCTTGATTGATAATGCCAATCTCGGCTGAGGTAAAAGGATGTAGATTCTAGTGTCAGAATCAACAAAGCGAGAAAGTGGTTGCTGTACATAAAGCTTTCCCATGCTGGGCAAAAACACGGTCAGTGCAACCCTACAACCCAGACATTGTCGCGTACGAATGTGCACTGTAGGGCCACGAGGTGTGAGCAACCGGACCTCGCTGTTTGGCGCCCCCAGGACAATGCTCACAGGTTTTGAGCCGGCTCCTGCCACTAGTTGCGGGCCCTGTTTTTCAAAACATATTGAAGATCGAACAGCTGGAGACATGGCAAGCATATAGTCCACCACTTCCCTGCTGTAGTGTGGACACAACTCCTATAGCAAACATGCAAGTCACCAACCTGTTGATGCCCTCATGAAGTGAAGCGCTGCCAGCTTGCAAACATGAAGATCACCAACCCTTGCGCAGTGATACATAGTGAACTGAAGCACTGCAGCTTCCAAACAAGTAGGTCGCCAACCCTTTTGCGTGATGCCGTAGTGAACTGAAGCACTGCAGCTT